GAGAAACCTCTGCTTGGCGCCAGTTTTGTTGTGCTACGAGTTTTTTTTTGAAGATAGTTGTTGTTATTTCTATACAGATTCCGATAGGAGAAAAACAAAGAAAGCCAAGAAGGAAAAGAAAAAGAAGAAAAAGAAAAAGCACAAACATCATCACTCTTCGGACGATGAGGAGGAAGTGGATATATGTGAACTGGAGAATCGAGAAACGGAACAAGTTAGCAGCACTTAGAGAGGAAAGAATCCGGCGAGAACGTGCCGAGGTAAGGATCTGAGAAAGTTCCTAGTTTCGTCTAACTTTTACTCAAGAGCTGACAGAACCGTCTCTACTAGCTTGTCTCCGACATAAAATTACTTATTAAGCGGCATCGTACTCAACAACTTCTCGATCCGAAGAAAGCAACGGCGCCACCAAAACAAAAGTACAATTCAATGTTCAATCCGGAACTGTGTAGAAAGTGAGCAATAATCGATTCCTCGGTATGAGGGCATGCGGGTGAACCCGACCGCCGCCTCATGACACGAACTGTTTAAATACGCTCTTTCAGCGATCTCTTTTTGTATTTTTGTATAGAAATCGTGCTTGCTATGGTTATGTAATAACATTTTGTTGGGCGCTATTCGGCGACGGAGGGGGGGGGCATTTTGCACTTTCGCTACTTCCCATCGACGTGTCGACCCATCTAGACAGCCTCTTCTCGAGTTGACAGGTTTTACCATGATGGCTTGACGAGCTTGCTCCAGCTTCACAAGAGTTCACAGGTTTCACCAGAGACTTGTAAACCGGAACTAGTGAAGCAACGAAAGTGCAAAATGCCCCCCCCCCCCGTTGCCGAACTGCGCCCTTTTGTTGCATAGTTGTTACGAATTTGTTATTGCCGGATAAAAAGTTTTGTTTTCATTTCAAGTTGCTTCTGAACCGTTTCCTCTCGAATATCTTCAATAGTTAAATGCTATTGAGAGTAATTCTTGTCATTTAGAAGTTATACCTTAATTAGGTTTTATTTGCCAAATGTGTGGGGCATCAAAGTCTGATGAGGTAACGTGTTTCACTGTGCTCTTTAGAGTGACCAATAGTCCGATGCTTGGCTATGTATCCCGGTTCAGATTCACGTTTCTATGTCAATTAACGATTTATCGAAGTATTTTGGTAACGGTTCTTGACCGATTACTTTGTCAACTACTCATTTGTGGTTTTCTTGTATAATGCCCAAGGTTTTACTTTGCTACTTCATCAGACGAAACAATTCTGCCCTCAATTCAGGCTGGTGATACGTGTCCAGCAGACGGCTGCGATAAAATGTCACCGCTCCGGACTATATGGGTGGTCCGTCACGCAGAGAGGTCGGCAGAGTTTTTTCCTCACGGGTTTTACAGCAAGAATCTTGAGTACTGCTACTGAGAGCAAGGTGAGGTAGGGGTAACTGGTGAGTACCGCTAATCAAGTTATCCTTGCCTCACCTACCTGCAGCCGCAT